TCCTTCTGCAGTCGCAGGATATCAGACTCCGAAACAATCTCACGCCAAATTTTAGTATCATCGGCATACAGTGACAGTTGTGTGCCAGGTGAAATCCCCACTGATATATCATCAATGAACATAATGAACAACAAAGGTCCCAAAATTGACCCTTGTGGTACACCAGATTGGGCGTTTCTCATGGAAGAAAACTTACCACTTATCAAGACCTGTTGTTGCCTGTCTCTTAGATAATCAGTGATGAATTTCAGTAGCCTCCCATCAATACCAAATTTGCTCTTTAGCTTAAATAATATAAGATCATGGTTAACTGAGTCGAAAGCTTTGGCAAAATCAAAGTAGACTACATCTGTTCTCATATTTTCATTCAGTGAGAGAGCTAGGCTGTCACATAGACCTACAAGATTAGTTGCACATGATCTTTCAGCTCGAAAACCGTGTTGTTTATCGTTGATCATGCCGTTAGTAAGTGCAAGTAACTCATCTTTAATTATGCGTTCAAGAACTTTGGTTATTAAGCATGTAAGGGATATTGGCCTATAATTTGAAACCTCGTGTTTATCACCTTTTTTATATATGGGTACAACGTGTCCCAGTTTCCACTCCCTAGGTAATGTCCCAATGTTGTAACATGAATGAAATAATAGTGATAATGGGTATGCAAGCCCAACAGCACAGTTTTTCAAAAGTTTCCCATGAATACCGTCAGGCCCATAAGCTTTGTTAGGGTTAATATTGGAAAGGATTTTTCGAACCCTTTGGTGGTCAAATGCAATATCAAAGCGCCAATCGTTTGAATAATCAATATCTATGTCGTATAATGATGCTTCAGAGAACTGCTCAAAGAAAAAGCCATTAAATAAGTTGGCCTGGTCCTCTGGGCAGTTGCGGACAATGCCTTTGTAGCTTACAAACTCAGGAATTCTTTGACTAGCTGTTTTTGATTTTACATATGACCAGAATTTTTTTGTTACAAGAGCGCTATCATCTGATTCATTTAATGTTTCTCGCATTTTTTGAGCAACCACATTTTTGAAGTTTTTCCTGGCAAGGGAGAATGCTATTTGGGCTCTATCGCTTTTATGTCTATCTTTATGCAGTCTTATTTTCTTGCGCCATGCATCATAGCACTCTGAGTCAAACCATGGATCTTGTCCATCTGTCTTAACTGAGCATTTCTTGATGAATTTGTCAGTGATATTAAAAAGTTTTTCTTTAAATTTTTTCCACCCAATTTCAGGTTCTGTGCCATTAAGCAATACATTCCAGTCTGTGTGCCGGAGTTCATGGTTTAGCCTCTCCCAGTTCACGTTTTTATAGTTATAGCACATACGCTTAACCGGCTTCTTCCTATTTACCTTAATGTTGATCTTAAAGTTGATTGGAAAATGATCAGACTTACAGACGCTATCTCGCTCACCTACCATTAGGTCACTGATATTAGACTCAGAGTTTGTGAGCAAAAGGTCCAGTATTTTGCCTTTGCAATGTGTGGGTGTAAGTACACATTGCCGAAGGCCAAGGTCTACAAAAGATTCAACAAAAATCTGCTCAATAGGACAGGAGCCGGCCAAGGTAGACCAGGAGACTCCAGTCAGGTTGAAATCTCCCAGGATAAATACTTTGCTTAGCCCTCTTCTCCGAAGAAGAGTTTTCAGAGATCCAAGAATTTTTTCATGATTTGCAAAGCCCAGTGTACCAACACGATAACATGTACAGATAACAAATTTAATGCCCGTTGATGTTGTAAACTCCACAGCAAGAATCTCTGCCCCCTCTTTAAGTCGGATTTCTTTCGAAGATAATTGAAGGTCTGCTCTCACAGCAATCATGACCCCGCCACCATTTCTCCTAAACCTGGTCGGATTAGAGGGATCAGGTGGATGAGTTTTCTTAGATCTGTCAGAGCGAAATATCTTATATTTATCAGGGTGCAGGAATTCGCTATCAGCTATGGAGTTTTTAAACCAAGTTTCGTTAAGTATTGCAATATCTATATTTGCCTCATTAAAATAAGTTGAAAGCTCAAGACATTTGGTGTTATCAAGCATTGGGTGGGCATTATTAAGCTCACCGAAGGGAATAAGGCCTTGAACATTCTGAAAGTAAACATTCAATACCTTACTATTCCCCAACCTAATATCTATAGGAGGGGGACCTGGGTTTACGATTCCAGGGTTTACAAAAACTATCAAAATACCATTCAACAAGAACAACCAAATTATGCATCCAGTTAGTGCAATGCCAGCTCTACCAGTAGATAAAAAGTTTAAATTCCTATAAATTGTAACATGGCAGAAATTGTAAAGGCCATCGAAACTATAATCATTCCGGAAATAATACATATTTGCTAAGTGTAGAAGGAAATATACAGTAAAATATCGGCACAGGTTAGGCACTGGATATGTTGGTACAAAGGCTCGGCAATCATATGTGACTCTAGAAAAAGCCAACCCACTAACCCCCGCACTAGTGATGATGATGAGTGAGAAATGGCATATGAATAAAACATAGAATATATATAAAAAGAAGCTAGGATCAATGCAGCTGTCTAAAATGTCAAAGATACTACCTGTACCACGTCTACGGTTCTGATGTTTAATGGCTCTTGCGAAAGAATTTCCACTAAACACTCCAACTCTAAATCTATATGTTACTAAATCGATCATGGTAATTTACAGGTAAGTATACTTGCCAGACTACATCTGCATATAACTAGCTATACAAGGTCCATAATACAGCTCAGGTTAAACTATTGATATACAAAGGGATTAAAATATCTACTGTGTATGGCACGAATATAAGACCTAGCCAACACCCCCATTCCTTTCTGAGGATTGGGGTGAATACCATTGCTCTCAAATAACGGGTCAAATCTCCTAACGGGTTCCTTATAAGTTCTCTTGAATTTAGTGAAGGGATAAAAGACATCCATAAAGAAGAACCTCCTGAATACACATTCATTATATAAAATCCTATTAAAGTCTATTATCCTCTTGTTAGTTAATCTATCATCATCAGACGTTAAGGGTAATGGCAATAAAGATTGAACATAAACCTTGCAATTAGGAAATAATTGGCATATCTTACTAAAGAGTTGCTTCAGAGGCCCTCTAACTATGCCTACATCCTCTACCCGTCTAATATCGTTCGTACCAACACTAATTAAAAGTTTATCAACCTGAACATCAGGATGTGCAGCAGAATAGTCCTCAAGCTGCTTCTGGACCTTGTCCATCTTTGCTCCACCTTGTGCAACATTCTCGACTTTGACTTTCCCTTTTCCCAGCTTGTCCGAGTCCAATCTCTGAGCAAAAGAGTCTCCAGCAACCAACGTGACTTTCTGCACAGGTTCTTTGACTTTAATGCCACAAGCAGGTGTACTAGTCTCACTGGCACTGTTGGTTTCAGAGCTGGCCTGGCTACCAGTTTTCACGATTGCGCGAAAAGACAGGGAGTATCGCACTTGGTCTTGACCATCCCCCTCCGTACCAGTAGCCAGCTCTGCACGCACCTGATGCTTCAGATTCTGCTGTGTCCCAGGCCTCATTACGACAAGGCTGTTGTTCTTCATCCTTATTGCTTTGGCACATTTAGGATTCTTCTTTGTACCCTCGTAAAACTCAAGTGTCCGTTCACACCCCAGGGAGAAAGAGCATATCGATTTCTCCTGATCGATGAGTGTCTCGTCGTCACGGTGTAACGAGGTGCTGGCCTGGTTGTTATTATACTTAATCACCAGACAGGAGTCCAAAGGTCCAGTTATCTCTGTGCTTGAGTTAACGAGACTCAGCAGCCTTTTGATGTTAGGGAAACTACTGATATCCTGTGGTGAGTGTACTGGGTTTGTGTCCGGGTACGTATAAGCCTGATCCTGCGAGCATAACCAAGCGGTTTGAGCCTTGTTTCTCCCCCCAGGGTTCATCTTCAAGGACCCACACTCCACCCATACTGCATCAAGGAGGACATCATCACCACAGAAGTCCTCTAGGTGCAAAACAAAGTTGTCCACCTTTCCCTCACGCTTAGGGAGCTCGTTCTGGACACAGTTGAGGATATTTTGCAGATCCTCAATTGAAGCAGCTTTAACATAGTCGAAAATCTCTTCAAGGTTTATCATTATTATCAGAGATTGTCGAGTCTGGCAGCAAAGTTTGCCGGGGAACCATCCATAACACCCCAGAGTAGGCAACCACACACAACACTGAACACTACCTGAAGGAGAAAGGGCAAGAGAAAATGGGTAATGGTACAAGTGGTTCTAGGTAAATTTTGCCAAGCGTAAGTAAATTTTGCCAGTGAAACTTTAGCTAGAATAATGATAAGAGGGGCAATATCAGAGTTGTAAATGTGTGACTAACATCAAATGTTATCATTGAAAGCAAAATTATGGGTAAAATCAAAGTAGAAGATCAACTTACAGCGTGTTTGAGGGTGTTGCTGCCCAGTGCAAGCACTGGGCGAGAGGAGCCTAACTCAAGGGTGAACTTCAGGAACCCCAGCGTACCCGCATACCAGGAGATCGGCTGTACTTCCTAGCCCGTCATGCCATCGTACATGCCTAAATTATTTGTTATATAGTAGTGTTGAAAGTATTAAAACAAAAATAAACAATGTACTTGTATATAAAAATAAACAATGTACTTGTATATAAATATACAACACACACTAATCTAATCTTTCTATTAACTTTCAAACCAGTCAAATAAGCTGTAACCAGGATAGATTTGGTATCAGATGATAAATTTAAGACAATCCAATCACTAATGTTGCGTGAATTGTGGCGGTTAAAAAAAAGATGGTCGTGGCAATTTTCAGTGACATTGCCTAATCATGATTCTTCATCGTAGAACCTTACTTAGAATAGCTAGGCAGCAAGGTTTGTGGCAGCAAGGTTTGTGGCCTCTGAAGCAATGGGGCCAACATGGGAAACCATGATACATCAGAAGAGATAACCAGAGTTTGATTGAGTCCTAACTTGACATGTGATTGTATTTCAGTGTTTGATGATGGGGACGAGCGGACACTAGGCAGGAACTGTGTGTGCCCACAAGGTGCCAAACACTTCAACGAGGAATGGGTTAGTAGTATTCTAAGTTACTTTCACTTCACTTACAGTATACTTACAGTACACAATGCGGGTCCGGGACTGTACGGTGTAAGACTCTAACCCTAACCCGCCCAAGAGTCTTACACCGTAGAGTCTCACGCCCTAGAGTCTTACACCGTAGAGTCTTACACCGTAGAGTCTTACACCGTAGAGTCTTACGCCGTAGAGTCTTACGTCGTAGAGTCCGGACCCCCACAATGCACATACAGTTAGTGCAAACTAACGGTCTACAATAATACAGGTTTATTGTTTAGCTCGGTGCTTTACTGCACTGTGATAAGTAAATAATTTATAAACTATTATTTTTTCAGACGTTGGATCACTTACCACTTACGAACCCTGAAAACTTTGGGACTCCCGTTATTTTGGAGAGTAAAAAGCAGAGAAAAAGAAGAAAGGTCGATGGTCCGGACAGGTAAAACATTGATATTTACCAGTCACGTCTAACCTATCTTAGCTAGTAGTTAAGTAGATTCTGTATGATCAGTTAAACTTATTATTATACATGTTAGTGGGATACACCTGTTAATAACCGCCTTCTGATTGAGCGACATCTGTCCGATAGCGACATCGCTGTCGGACAGGAGTCATTTTTGGCGACATCTGTCCAACTTTTATCATATCGATCTTATAGAACACTTGTTAACTCGCAGTGGACGAAGTGCTCACTACAGCGAAGAGGATGTAGGTAAAGTTGCGTTCTACGATACCCGCTCAAAGAAGCAGACTCTGGTACCGGTACTGATTACCTCTCACAGCCAGTGTGACGAGTTCGTAGCTACTAATCCTGGCGAGGTTATCGTTAGGAGCTTCAAATCCGGCAAATTGTGAGTAGAAACAAACTTTAGCTCACCTGCACTCTGCACTCTGCTTTAAATCCGGCAAATTGTGAGTAGAAACAAACTTAAGCTCACGTGCACTCTGCTAAAAAGACTGGTAGCATCATCTGTACGTTAGAGTAAGTAAGAGAAGTAAAATGTTTTAAGTGTTATAATGTTTCAGCATGTCGATACCGAAGGAGGATATGTTACGATTTGACAGAGAGACAGAACCTCTGCAATCAATCCTGACAAGTTCTTCTCATATTATTGTCCTGAAACCAGCTCTAGGTAAGATATATAACAGTGTTACATCCTGTCTCCTTACTCCTTACTCCTTACTACTGACTCCTTACTCTTCACTCTTTTCTCCTTACTCTTCACTCCTTACTCTTTACTCTTCACTCTTCACTCCTTACTCCTTACTCCTTACTCCTTACTCCTTACTACTGACTCCTTACTCTTTACTCTTCACTCCTTACTCCTGTCTCCTTACTCCTTACTCCTTACTCCTTGCTCCTTACTCCTTACTCCTTACTCCTTACTCTTCACTCCTTGCCCATAGTGGGGCAGCTACTCCCCTTTTAGTTAATATACTTATCATATTGTTATATTGTTAGACTTACTTACTTACTTGTAATTGAAAAGGTCTCCTCCTAGTCGTTGGAGTGGCCTGCACCACATAGTAACTCCTTTCTCCGGTGTATTAGACCTCTCCAGTGAACCCTGTCTGTAGTTTGTTGTTCTGCATCTTCTATCGTGATGTTATCGACACCTGTGAAGATTGCTGCATCCTCCCGGACACATGACAACCAGTTTTTCCGAGGTCTACCTCTTGACCTTTTACCATGCTTTGGGATCCAGTGCAGAAGATAGTTGGGTATTCTTTCTTCTGGCATCCTCACCACATGGCTAAACCATCGGAGTCTAGCTGCTCGTACGAAAGTATCAACAGGGGCGATGTTAGCCCGCTTAAGTACATCAGCATTAGATACATAATAAAACCATTTGATTTTTAGGATTCTCCTCAGACATCTATGATGGAACACCTCAAATCTTTTCATCTGCGTCTGTGTGGTATTCCATACCTCACTTCCATAAAGCAGTATAGTGAGCACAGCCGCTTTGTAAATCCTGATTTTAGTTGGAGTCTTAATGCTGCGACTGTACCATATACTGCTAAGCTGATAGAATGCCCCAGAGGCCTTTTGAATTCGAGCTGATAGTTCTTTGTCAATTGTTCCATTCGCACTGATGATTGCACCCAAGTAAGTGAAATTGCTGACCTGCTGTATTGGGAGACCTTCCACATTGATGTCCAATGGACAATTGTCCATAGTGTCGTCTTTAGAATACGGCCTCTGCGATGCACTTTTGCTGACAACCATGCTCTGTGTTTTGCCAGCATTAATCTTCAGACCCGCATAGGCACTGTATTTGCAGAGAAGGTCAGTGGTTTCCTGCAGCCCCTCTTTTGAGTTATCTAACATGGCCATGACATGTCATCAGCGTAATCAGTGTCCAAGAGATGTTTCTCTTCTACCCCGGGGGCTGGCAGCTGTAATAAAGCCCCCTTGCTAATGACTTTGTTTAGTTCCATAAGGTATGCCGAAAAATTCAAACAAAAGACTGGTGGTCCCTGTATATCACCTTGCCCAGTTCCCGAGTTGACATCAAACCAACCTGTAACCTCTCCATTGACCCTAACATATTGTTATAATAGACAGTTTTTGGGTTTTCCAAATAGTTTCTGATTATTCTGATTTGCGACAAATGATATTGCACTGTTAGGATAAACGACGTTTCAAAGTAACAACTTCTTATTCATGCTGACAAAATTGGTAAATATGTGAGAAAACTGTCTCATAAAATTTATTAATCAAAAAATGGCTAAACGACAACAAATTGTTCAAATACTCGACTAAAATTAGAATCAAAATCTATATTATATATACACCACTAATCGATCTGCTATTCAATAAACTTAAAACATCCACTAAACAGCAAGTACGTGATTGTGATCGTGTGATGGAATGACATGTACAGTGATAACAGATGATAAGATGTAAGTGATAACATATGATGAGGTAAATATATATATATTTATTATATATATTTATAATATTGTTATAAGGTGCATTAATTTAAAATCTTTAATTTTCAGAGAAAGCGCTAGCGTTCTACGACACCGGAGTATTGCCGATATCCTGGGAAACTGACACCGATTCTACTGTTCGCCTAACCGAGCCGGAAAACTTGAACAACGCTAAATTAAAGAAACAATTCAACAGTGGTCTGTATGAGTACTGGGAGAAGAAAGGTAATATCCTAGATAAAAAGTTATTATATTAGAAACAATGTTCCGTGCTCTTACTATGAAATTAGAGAAGAGGCAAGTATCTTCTCAGAAGAGACATACAGTCATATTGCTGGCCTTAACTCCAAAGAACTGAAAATGACAGCTATTAAGGCCCCCCAGAAGTTGCCGATATCTCATCTCCCTTTACCACGACATGTTATATCCCTTTACCACGACATGTCATCTCCCTTTATCACGACATGTTATATCCCTCTACCACGACATGTCATCTCCCTTTACCACGACATGTCATCTCCCTTTATCACGACATGTTATCTCCCTTTACCACGACATGTTATATCCCTTTACCACGACATGTCATCTCCCTTTACCACGACATGTTATATCCCTTTACCACGACATGTTATATCCCTTTACCACGACATGTTATATCCCTTTACCACGACATGTCATCTCCCTTTACCACATGTTATATCCCTTTACCACGACATGTCATCTCCCTTTATCACGACATGTTATCTCCCTTTACCACGACATGTTATCTCCCTTTACCACGACATGTTATCTCCCTTTACCACGACATGTTATATCCCTTTACCACGACATGTTATCTCGGGCCCTATCTCCCTTTACCACGACATGTCATCTCCCTTTACCACACCATGTCATCTCCCTTTACCACGACATGTTATCTCCCTTTACCACGACATGTTATATCCCTTTACCACGACATGTTATCTCCCTTTACCACGACATGTTATCTCCCTTTACCACGACATGTTATCTCCCTTTACCACGACATGTTATATCCCTTTACCACGACATGTTATATCCCTTTACCACGACATGTTATCTCCCTTTACCACGACATGCTATCTCCCTTAACCACGACATGCTATCTCCCTTTACCACGACATGTTATCTCCCTTTACCACGACATGTTATATCCCTTTACCACGACATGTTATCTCCCTTTACCACGACATGTTATCTCCCTTTACCACGACATGTTATCTCCCTTTACCACGACATGTTATATCCATTTACCACGACATGTCATCTCCCTTTACCACGACATGTCATCTCCCTTTACCACGACATGTTATATCCCTTTACCACGACATGTCATCTCCCTTTACCACGACATGTTTTCCCCCTTTTACCACGACATGTCATCTCCCTTTACCACGACATGTTATCTCCCTTTACCACGACATGTTATCTCCCTTTACCACGACATGTCATCTCCCTTTACCACGACATGTTATATCCCTTTACCACGACATGTCATCTCCCTTTACCACGACATGTTATCTCCCTTTACCACGACATGTTATATCCCTTTACCACGACATGTTATATCCCTTTACCACGACATGTTATCTCCCTTTACCACGACATGTTTTCCCCCTTTTACCACGACATGTCATCTCCCTTTACCACGACATGTTATCTCCCTTTACCACGACATGTTATCTCCCTTTACCACGACATGTTATCTCCCTTTACCACGACATGTTATCTCCCTTTACCACGACATGTTATCTCCCTTTACCACGACATGTTATCTCCCTTTACCACGACATGTTATATCCCTTTACCACGATACTATTTGCCAGGAAGTCCCATAACACGGAGACCTAGTGTTGGTTACCACGATCTAGACCTGTTTGAGCTGCATTGCTTTGTAGCAGAGTGTGGGGGCCCGGACACTGTCACACAGAATATGAAGTGGAGGTCTATATGTGCTCAGGTTTGTCGAGATAGTAGTGTAACTATGGTTACTAGTAGTGTAATTATGGTAACTAGTAGTGTAACTATGGTTACTAGTAATGTAACTATAGTTACTAGAAGTGTAACTATAGAATATGAATGGAGATATCTTCTTGAATATCACTGTGTTTGTCGCTTGTTTTGACTCAATACCTAAAGATTCTCCTTTCTGAGGAGTTAATCCCTAACTAATATATATACAAAATAATATAAGCTCTACTTTAAATTAATATTATTGATTATTTCCTAGATCTTGTAGCTCTAGTTTAATAGAAGTTCTCCCACCAGATGAACATATTAAACATCCCTCCAAGTGGCTCTCACACAGTGAAGAATGCTTACTGTAGATACGTACTACCCTTCTTGGAGCAGTGGGACGGCAAATCCAAAAGGAGGTCCTCTATTTGCGAGGTAACTTGTTAATTAGCTCTATTTGCGAGGTAACTTAACCTGTTAATTACTAATTAGCTCTATTTGCGAGGAAACTTGTTAATTAGCTCTATTTGCGAGGTAACTTGTTAATTAGCTCTATTTGCGAGGTAACTTAACCTGTTAATTACTAATTAGCTCTATTTGCGAGGTAACTTGTTAATTAGCTCTCCAGAAATACCCACTTACATGTTTCATATTATATCAATTATTTTTCATATTTCGGGCAAATTGTACTGTGGGCTACGGTATTTTATTTTATCTAGACTCAACAAAAATGTGGAGAATGTAGATGTGTGACATATATTCTATGTAGAGTACAGAGGAAGGTGGAAAGAAGAGAGGTAGGGTCAGTACGCCGCTATCCAAGGAACGAGGCACCCCTACAACGCCTCTCTCACAGGGCACCCCTTCTACGCCTCTCTCACAGGGCACTCCGTGCAGTAAAGGAAGAAGGAACAGTGTAAAGGATCAGGATGGAGAGAGTGCTGCTAGCAGTGATTATACCGGTCAGTATAAAAACAACTTGCAGTATTTCCTCTGATAAGTTAACTGTATTATGGTATAGTTTTAATACTTTCAACACTTATCAAATAATTTGAGGCTCTTAATATGTAGTTTATTTACGAAGGATTCAAGCCTAACATTGTGTGTTTCCCTTAGTGTCCAAATGAAATATAGTCTAAACATTAGTTATATAAACAAGTTAACCTCTTCTCAGATTATGAACAAATGAAATATAGTCTATACATAAGTTATAAACAAGTCCTCTCAGATTATGAACAAATGAAATATAGTCTAAACATAAGTTATAAACAAGTTAACCTCTTCTCAGATTATGAACAAATGCCACACATACACAAGTACTCTCTCGGTCAGAGAGTGAAGGTGTTGTACGGGGCCCCTAAAGCGTGTGGGAGCTACGAGGCAAAGATAAACGACAAAAATGTGGACAGTCGCACAGACCTGCCAATATACCACATACACTATACAGGCTGGAATACCAGGTTAGACTAGCTGCCAATATACCACATACACTATACAGGCTGGAATACCAGGTTAGACTAGGAATAGATATAGAATATATAATATACTGGTGTTTATTATAAAGTTAATGGTGTAGTGCGGGGGGGGGGGGGGTTCTCTACAAAAGTATAGTGACCCCCTCCGCCCCCCCCCCCCCCCCCCCCCCCCCCCCGGCCCCCCGCCCCTGTGTAGTACAAGGTATTGAAATGATGAATAGATATTGTCTATTCATACCTGCTGCTTTATTAAACTCTAACTTAGTGTTTGCCACATTTACACATGTAGTAGTATAGTGAACCCCCCTATACTTTGCCACATTTACACATGTAGTAATATAGTGAACCCCCCTATACTTTGCCACATTTACACGTCTCATAGCTCTCTGTTTTCAGATACGACGAGTGGATCACTGAGGACAGTATCGCTTCATTAGTGACCAGGTCTAACAAGAAGAAGGGAACCTTATTGGATCCTGCTAAAGATGTCAAAGTAATTTCCGAAATATTATTTTATATTTTACAACCGTGCACTAGAGCCCCAGTAAAGTTAGGGCTGTGGTTAGGAGAAGAGTCCTTGGTTCGTGCCCAGTGCCCACGACCATCGACCATCCTCAGCACAGAAATTAACTGAGGGTCTGCCCACACTACGCCTCTATTCCCCGAATGTCTGTCCACACTACGCCATGTGGTGACGGGCCACATGGCGTGGGTCAAAAAAACCGGATTCACACAACGAGGCACGTAGTGTGGGCAGAGCTCCCGCCAGTTGGCGTGGAAACTCTCGGGGAATTCTGGCACGGATTTTTACCCTAACTTTCCACAAATGAAACTCTGACTCACTGTATAGCAGACCCCCGGCCCCCCCTCGGTACCCCCGACCCCCCCCCCCCCCCCCCCCCCCCTTGGAACCCCTCGGCCCCCCCTCGGAACCCCCCCCTCGGAACCCACCGAGCTCTACTCTTAAATGAAAACTCCCTCAGAACGTGCCTAATCGTCGGAAGATAGTTCCCAAGTACAAGAAGTATAAGAAACAGCAGTCTGCCAGCGAGACAAGTTCAGACGACAAGAATAGTCTGCCGGCTAGCGAGTGTAGTGAGCCGGAACTAGACAAACAGGTACAGTCCTAGTAACCATAGTAACGCTACTAGTAACCATAGTAACGCTACTAGTAACCATAGTTACACTACTAGTAACCATAGTTACACTACTAATAACCATAGTAACACTACTAGTAACCATAGTAACGCTACTAGTAACCATAGTTACGCTACTAGTAACCGTAGTTACGCTACTAGTAACCATAGTTACACTACTAGTAACCATAGTTACGCTACTAGTAACCATAGTTACGCTACTAGTAACCTGGTAACCATAGTTACACTACTAGTAACCATAGTAACGCTACTAGTAACCATAGTTACGCTACTAGTAACCTGGTAACCATAGTTACGCTACTAGTAACCATAGTTATGCTACTAGTAATCATAGTTAAACGCTAATAAAACAAGAATGAGATAAGATGGATCAGCCTACAAATAAGCTTGAAATAATGTTCAGGAAGATCTGCCTGAAATCAAACAAGAGCCAATGGAAGAAGAGGAAGAAGAGGAGGAAGAAGAAGAGGAGGAGAAAGAGGAGAGGGCAGCCTCCCCGCTCTACCAGCCAACTGTTAAGGTCGAGAGCTCTGTTGTCACTGGAGATGTGACTTCTTCTCAGGTTTTTACAAATCCGGCGGTTTTTCTGACCCCGAATTGTTACCCCGGTGTACAAACATAGTTACTGAATACTGAATACTGAATACTGAATACTGAATACTGAAAAATACTGAATACTGAATACTAAATACTAAATACTGAATACTGAAAAATACTGAATACTGAAAAATACTGAATACTGAATACTGAAAAATACTGAATACTGAATACTGAATACTGAATACTGAATACTGAATACTGAATACTGAATACTGAATACTGAATACTAAAAAATACTGAATACTGAATACTGAAAAATACTGAATAATGAATACTGAAAAATACTGAATACTGAATACTGAAAAATACTGAATACTGAATACTGAAAACTGAAAAATACTGAATACTGAAAAATACTGAATACTGAATACTGAAAAATACTGAATACTGAATACTGAAAAATACTGAATACTGATATCTTCAGCCGTCTGACGAGAAGTTGTTGTGTGAGGAGACCTTTGAAGACGTGATAGACACAGCAGTAACATCAACTCAACAACCTGACCTCTCTCGTCAACCGGTGAGCTTTGCCTCCCCTCGCTGCCCATTCCTCGCTCCCTCCTCTCTCTTTCTCTCCCCCTCCCTGTCCTTCCTTTCCTCGCTCCCTCCTCTTTCTTTCTCTCCCCCTGCCTTTCCTTTCCTCCCTTCCTCCTCTCTCTTTCTCTCCCCCTCCCTGCCTTTCCTTTCCTCCATCCCTCCTCTCTCTTTCTCTCCCCTCCTTGCCCTTCCTTTCCTCCCTCCATCCTCTCTCTTTCTCTCCCCCCTCCCTGTGCTGTTTCACGTCGAATCATCTCCCTCCCTACCCACTTTAACGTCGTATCCTAGGTGAGCGGTACATCACGTCCGCAAGAATGGTGTGGCCCTGTGAGCGGTACATCACGTCCGCAAGAATGGTGTGGCCCTGTGAGCGGTACATCACGTCCGCAAGAATGGTGCGGCCCAGCTACATCACGTCCGCAAGAATGGTGCGGCCCTGTGAGCGGTACATCACGTCCGCAAGAATGGTGCGGCCCAGTAAGCGGTTCATCACGTCCGCAAGAATGGTGTGGCCCAGTGGAAGAGGACAAGGCTAAAGAAGAAGCAGCTGCAATCCTAATGACTTTTCCTAGTAAGCCGTCCTTTCAGTAAAATAGAAACAGCATCTGCTTGGATTTTTAACGAATGCTGGGTGTGAATTGTAGTGACATTTTGAATATTGATGCTCTTGCGCACACAAGTATTGAGAATGTTGATAAGAGATAACACTTCAGGTACGTTTGCGATGAAGCCCGGTCCAATGACAGGACCTTGTGTAACCCCCGGACACATCCTCCCGCCTCATCTTCAGCTCACTTACCAGTTCCCCACAGTCAGTACAGCTTTTATTTTAGCTTTTATTGGACTTTAATTTTCTGAATATTTGCTAAAAATTATTAGCAAAAAATTAGAAATAACTGATATCGTAAAATTAGGAAAATTAAAATAATAAATAATTATATATAATGTGTTAAAATAATAACGTATTGTATATACTGTGTTAAAATAATAACTAATTATATAATGTGTTAAAATAATAACTAATTATTAAATGTGTTAAAATAATAACTAATTATATATAATGTGTTAAAATAATAACTAATTATTAAATGTGTTAAAATAATAACTAATTGTATATAATGTGTTAAAATAATAACTAATTGTGTTTAAATGTGTTAAAATAATAACTAATTATATAATGTTTTAAAATAATAACTAATTATATAATGTTTTAAAATAATAACTAATTATATAA